AAAGTTGAATCTTCCAGGGACAGTTTCATGTTTATCTTAGTATCCTGAGTACAGAGTACACACATACTAAATAAATGCTTACTGAAATGCATCTTGTAAAAACCAAGGGTGAAGAGTGCCCTTAATTGCTAGTAAGATGCATTGAACCACTTTGGAGATCTCCTTTCAAGAGGAAATTGCCCTTCCTTCCTGCCCTTTACCTCTATCTATTCCCTCCTATCCTCTAATTATGATGCTCTTTGACCTTCTTCTATTAGTCAACCCTGATTCTCTTCAATATCTTCTCTGCTGGTTCCTTTTTTTTTTCTTTTTTCTTTTTAGGCAATTGGGGTTAAGTGACTTGCCCAGGGTCACACAGCTAGTAAGTGTCAAGTGTTTGGTCTGAGGCCGGATTTGAACTCAGGTCCTCCTGACTTCAGGGACAGTGCTCTATCCACTGCGCCATCTAGCTGCCCCATGCTGGTCCTTTCCCTTGGCATACAAACAAACAGGATCAGGCTGTCCCTGTCCTTTCATGCAAATACCTTGTCAGCTACTTCTGGAAATAACAAAAACCTTCATTTCCTTATCACCCATTTAGTCTTCATCCCCTTGCAATCTAGTTTCTATTACCACTACTTTATTCACACTGGTCTCTCTAAAGCCACCAATAACCTTCTATTGCTACATCTACCGGTCTTTTTTCTCTTCTTTCTTCTGCAACCTCTCTGTAGTATTTAACGCTATGGTTCCCTTCTTCCTTCTTCAAACTTTCTCCTCTCTTCACTTGTGACACTGCTCTCTGTGACTTGCTGGCTAATCATCTTCCTGACTCTTACATGCAGGTATTCCTAAGGTTCTGTCCACCTTTCTCAACATTCTGTTTCTTAGTGAACTTATTCACTTTCATGGTTTCCATCCCCTATGTATATTTCTGCTTTAATCTTTTCTCAGAGCTCCAGAACCATCATTTCCAACTGCTAACTGGATATCTCTACCAGGATGAACAACCAAACTCTTTTTCTTCTTCCCAAAACCTGCACTTAGCATTTTAAAAAAATTTCGGGCATCAGCACTCTCCCAGTTAACCAAGTTCAAACTTCTGGAATCATATATTTTTTTTCATTTCTTCTATCCCCAACATCCAATCAACTACTAAGTCTTGCCCATCATAGTGTGGCACTATCTCTTTTATTTGTTCCGTCCACTGCAAACACCCTAACTCAGGCCATCGTTACTGGACCTTTATACTTTTAATAGCTTTCTACTTAGTCTCTCGTCTCTCCAATTCTTCTTTTCCTATACTGCCTAAGCAATCTTCTAGCCCACCAGTTAATTGAATCTCTTTACTTAAAAATCTTTAGTGGCTCCCAGTTGCTTGTCATAAACTTCTGATCAATAAAAAAAAAAAATTGATTAAGCACCTACTATGTGGCAGGCACTATGTTGGTCACAAGGGATGTTAAAAAAATAAGATCAAGTGCCTCCTGTAAAGGAGTTTACATTCTACTGGAGCACTAACAATTTGGGGGGCCAGGAAAGGCCTCCCAAAGGAAGTGGCATTTGAGCAGAGATTTGAAGAGAGCTAAACTTCCAAAAGGCTGAGGTGAGTAGATTGCATTCCAGGCAAAGGAAGGGTGAAGGGGACAGGCACAGAAGTGGAAGACAGAATGTAGTGCATAGGGAACAGTAGGTAGGCCAGTTTGGCTGGAGGGTAGGGTGCACCAGAGGAAGTGGTGTGTGATCAAGCTGCAAAGATTGGGAAGTGATGTGTGATCAGGCTGCAAAGATTGGACAAAGTCAGATGGTGAAGGGCTTTCAGATGAAAACAGAGGAGTTTGTATTTTATCCTTAAGGCAATAGGGAACCTGAGAGGCTTGGGAAATAGTAGCACCTCCAGGACCACTGGCCATACTTCCAGTGTGAACCCTGAAGCCATCACTAAGCAGGTCAGCCATTCCCAACACCATTCACTGACCAACTGTCAAGGATGAATAGGTAAACCCAAAAGCCTCAGGAATAGGAGTATCCCCAAAACTAGTGCCCTCTTTACAGCTCAGCAACCCTTGTGGAGACATGCCGTGACAACTGGTTTTTGTGGGTGTTGCAGCTCTAGCCTTCTAGCCAGCCACAGTTACTGAAGACCCAGAAAAGAAAGCTCTCCCCAGTAAGTCCTCAGCAGTCAAATTGCTCAGCCAGAAATAGATATGGATTTATCAATAGAAGTGACACTAAACAAGATGCATTAATTACTAGCTGCTTTGCCACCGCGCCCCAAGGACCATGGAATCTTTCTATTTGTCTTGCAACTGAAACCTCCCACATATGTTGTCTCCTCCACCAGAATGTGAGCTCCCCAAAAGGCCAGAACTCTTTTATATTTGTATCCCTAGGGCTTAGCACAGTCTTTCTATATAGTAAGCTCCAATAAATGCTTTTCTCATTTATTTATTCATTCATTCTTTCTTTCTTTCCTGAGCAGAGGAGTGACCAGGTCAGACCTTCATTTCAGGAAAATCGATTTGGTAGCTGTTTAGAGGATGGAGTGGAAAGGGGAGAAACAATGTTGGGAAATCAATTAAAAAGCTATTGTAAAAGTCCAGGCAATAAGCAGTTACAGTCTATACTCAGGTGATTGTGGTATGGGCAGAGAAAGGACAGGTGAAAGAGATTCCGAAGAAGCAGAACTGACAAGATTTGGAGACTGGTGAACATGGGGGATGAGGGTGAAGAGCTGTGGCTGTGAATGGGAAGAATGATAACTTCAAAAGAAATAGAGAAGTTAGGGTGAGGGGGTGAGTTTACAAGGAAAGGTAATGAGTTCTGTTTCAGACATGGTGAATTTTAGATGCCTACGGGACATCCAGGCAGAGATGTCTAGCAGGCAGCTAGAGATGCAGAACTGAAGCTCTGGGGAAAGACAAAGGATAGATATGTAGATTTGGGAAACGTCTATAATAAAGATGATTGAGGCATCTAGGTGGCAGTGGATAGAGCACCTAGGCCTTGGGAAAACCAGAGTTCAAATCTGGCCTAAGACACTAAGTACCTGTGTGACTCTGGTCAAGTCATTTAACCCTGTTTGCCTCGGTTTCTTCATCTGTAAAATGAGCTGGAGGAGGAAACGACAAACCACTCCAGGATCTTTGCCAAGAAAACCCCAAAAGGGGTCATAAAAAGCAGGATATGACTGAAAACTCCTGAACAACAGCATATAAAGACGATAGCTGAATTTATGGGAGCTGAAGAGATCACCAAGAAAGCAAGAGTGTAGAGAAGAAGAAGGTCTAGAATGGAAACCTGGAGTATACTCAGGGGTTACCACCATACAGACTTTGGTGATAGCCATTCAAAGCAGACTGAGAAGGATCAGGCCAATAGGAAGAGAACCATGATAGAGCAGTATCACAGAAACCCAGGGAAGGTTTGGCTCCAAGAGACCTTTCCAGCCTTTTTTTATGCTCTCCCTTCATTTACTTTATATTCCAGCCATATTAGACTATTTCCATGTCCTCTGTGTCTGCTGTGCCCTCTCCTTTTTCCATCCCTTTGCTTACGCCATCTTCTATGCCTGGAAAGGACTCAACAAACCCAACAGAGTATCTACTCATCCACTTTTGGTTTGTTGAGGTTACTCCTTTTCTTAAAGGTTCAATCAAGTGTTGTCTTCCCCTAAGCCTTCTCTGACACCCTTCTGTCCCCCTTAAAGTTAATATCTCATTCCTCAAACTTTTGTCCTCATTTTGCCCTTTACACATTCATCTCCCTTCCCTGCATATTCTTTCTTCCTTCTTAGAGTATAAGTACATCAAGCTTGCTTCTCCATATCTATCTCTGTAGCCTCAGTTTCTTGGCACACAGCTGGCATTCAATGTGCACACTAATGGACCCCGATTCCTAGTGTCTGGGGAGACAATTTCTACCTGTGGTTCCACCCCAGACTGCTCCAGGCATTTTCTCTGGCCATCCCCCATGGTTGAAATCCTGCCCCCAGGTTTCCTTTAAGTTCCACTCAAAATTCCATCTTCTACAGGAAGTCTTCCCTAAGCCCTCTGAGAAAGGAATTTATAATTTTCCTATTAATCGATATGAGATGTGTAATGAATATACTAATAATTCCATTTTCTCAAGAGCTGCCTCTCTGGCTCAGGAGTCAGAGCTCACAATGCAGCTTAAGCTGATTAATCAAAGCTCTGACCACGGTCACAATCACTGGACCTTAAGAGAAGGGAATCAGAGATCGGAAGAACCTGTTCCAGTCACAGAGCTCTGGCTCTGTACTCTAGGGGAGGTGGTCATGACCCCCAACGACTTGTTATATTGTGGGTCTTAGGGGTTTCTCCTGAAAAACCACTAAATGATTGTTTGTAATTCACCTCTCCCCTCCCTTTCCACTTGTCAGTTGTGTATATAATCTCTGTCTTCACTCAGCAAGGTGGAATCTTGATCAGATTTGCAGATCTGTTCCTCCTAATGAAACTAATTAATTAAACGCCACCTGATTACTGGTACTTTGTCTCTGACCAGCTGTTTGGTCATTCTCTCGCTCAGTAAAACCTGTTAACACCTCTTGACTACAGCGCCCTCCCTCTAAGTATTTCCTATAGATCCCGTCTACTGGGGGTTTGTACGTAGTTGTTCGCATGGTGTCTCCCCCTTAGAATGTAAGCTCCTCGAAGGCAGGCCCTGTCTTTTGTTTCTTTTTGTATCCCCAGGGCGTGGCACAGTGCCAGGCACATGGTAGGTGTGTAATCAATGTTTAGTGACTATTAATAAAAGGGGAGTAATGTCAGAGGTTGGAGGGTGTGGTTGCTCCTCCGACAGGTATGACCCGTGTGGGGGCTGGGCTAGCGGGCCTCGGCTGACGCTTCCAGTCCCCAAGCCTCGGTTTTACAGGGTCCCCAAACACGCTCTCGGGCTCCGCAGTCAGGAGGCCCCGGCTTTCCCGCCATCCAGCGGGCCCCGCCCCGATCCCGACGGCCCCTGCGGCCGCAGCGTCACGTGAGCGCGAGCCGCCTCGGGCCCGGCTCCTCTGTCCCGGAGCGGCGGCGGCCGCAGCTCTATGGTCGCCTGAGGAGCCGCTGCCGGGGAGCCGGGGAGACACGAGGACGGGTGAGTGAGGGAGCAGGAGAGGGCCGGCGGCGTCAGCTCCTCCCGCCGTGAGGGAGAAAGATAGGGCGCCGGGGCCAGGAGGGAGAGAGGGATCGAGGGAGGGCTCCGTGCCTGTCACCGCCGCCGTCTTCGCCCGGCCTCGCCCGGGACCGAGGCTCCTCACCCGCCCCCTGCCCCGCCCCGCCGCGCCGCCTGGGGGCGCTGCCGCCGCCGCCAACCCCTCCCGCCGGGAAAGGGGCGGCCCGGAGGCGGAGCCACTCCCGCTGGGCGGCCGGCTGGTGGGCGGGCCTCCGAGCAGGGGAGGGGGCGCTGAGACCCCCGCGGGGGGTGTGTGTGGCTGCTCCCGGGGTCCTCTCGGGGAACCGTCGGGGCGGGGCTCGGTTCTCCAGCGCGTACTAAGCTCCTACTAGGTACCGGGCGCCGAGCCGGGAGCTGGGGAGCTCTCAGTCCGACGGCGGCGGAAGGGGTTGCCGAAGGTGGTGTGGCCCCCGGGGGCTGGAAGGGAACCAGCCGGGGAGGTGCCCGAGGCCCTCCAGGAGTGGGGGAGGGGCGGGACCAGCCGGGGAAATGCCCCGAGTCTGGACGTGGGAGCCTCGGGGCACTCTCCGAGGAGGAGGCTCGGGTTGGGAGCCAGGGAGCGCAGTGGTCTTCTCTCTGGGTCTCCGGCCCCTGTGGTCCTCGCCGTCGGGATGGTGTCCATTCCTCAGCGGGATGTCCTGGCTTCCGATTCTGTCTCTGGTCCTTCCTTAACCTGTGTGATCCGACCTCCCCGAGCCTTAGCTTCCTCCTCTGTAAAGTGGGAGAGAGATTTGCATTCAACGGCCTAGGTCTCTTCCAACTCTAGGTCTGTGAGCAGACAAAATAGCTTTTTCTCTACTTCTCAAAATCAGAGGACGACTTGTGTTTCCCAACCTCCTTCCTGTCCCCTTCACAAGACAATCTTGTTATTCTCCCTGCTCCAGACATTTGCACAGGCTGTGCCCCCAAGCCTGGAATTCTCCCTCTCACTTTCTGACTCCTGGCTTCCTTCAAGGCCCAGATAAAATCCCACCCTCTACAAAAAGGTTTTCCTGAACTACTTTAATACTGCCAATAATAGTTAGCATGTGTATGTGACACTGAGGTTTGCAAAGCACTTTACAAATATCTCATTTGATCCTCACAACAACCCAGGGAAGTAGGTGCTATTATTATACCCATTTTATAAATGAGGAAACTGAGGCAAGCAGAAGTTATGTGACTTGCCCAGGGTCTTGAACTCATCTTCCTCATATCCCCTCTACCTTCTTCCTGCCTTCCCTCTGTGATTATCACCAATTTACCCTGTACATATCTGGTGTGTACACAGTTATGTGCATATTGTTTCCCCTGTTATACTGTAAACTCTTTGAGAGCAGGGACTCTGGTGTGTGTGTGTGTGTGTGTGTGTGTGTGTGTGTCTGTCCGTCTGTCTGTCTGTCTTTGTATCCCCAGCAATTAGCACCGTGCTTGGTACAGAGTAGTTGCTTTATAAATGCTTAAGAACAAAGGTAGTGATAACTGTTCTCCCAGTTCCTCTGAGACTCTTCTTGGATATCTGTTACCTTGTTTACAGTCTCATAGATTCAGAACTACGAAGTACCTTTGAAGTCATCAAGTGCAGAGCTGTCATTTTACAAATGGGGAAACTGAGGCCCAAGGAGGCGAAGTCACTTGTCCATTATCATACAGGTAGTAGTTGGCAGAGCTGAGATTGTAACTAACCAGAGTCCAAATACACTATTCATTCTGTTGTATACATGCCTTTCATTCAAGGCAATAAGCATTCTATCGGAGAGAAACAACTGGTGTACATACACACACACACACACACACGTGTGTGTGTGTATATATATATATATATAAAGAGCTATGCAGATAATTTTAGGGGGATAGCACTAATAGCAGGAAGAATCAGGAAAGGCCTCTTGTAAGAAATGACCCTCGAAATGAGCTTTTATAGGAGCTAGGGACTCCCAGAGTCAGAGGGAAGCAGTGAGAGTGTAAGAGTGTAGGGAACAAACAGCTTGTGCAAAGGGTATGGAGGTGGGAGATGGGATATTGTGCACTGGGAACAACAAGGTGTCTGGTTTGGCTGGAACTGGACCTAGTGAATGAAGGGGAGTAATGAGTAATCAACCTGGAAAGATCACTTGAAGCTCAGTTGTGAAGGAATTAAAATGCCAAAGGAGTTAGTTCAAGTACATCTTCTGTCTGCTCTCAGTGGAAGGCATGGAATTTTAGTGCCATAGAGAAAATGTCGACGGACATGAAGAAGTAACACTGGGTTTGGGTGAGGCAGTTTTAGATTCCATTTAGGTTTTTCATAAGAATAAATGATCAGTTAATAGCATGGCAGGATCATGAGACATACCACACCAGGTCACACCAATTTTCTGTTCTGTGAACATCATAAAACATTTTTGGGGAGAGCAAAGTAGTTGCCCTGAATTGACCTCAAAATGTTAAGAATACATATTGTACCTTGGACGTTTTTAAATTTCCTTTAATCCATAATAGATCTGTTGCAGCTATATTTCAATTTTTACAAATCCTGGTTATAATGAATTAGATGATAATATACTACATATCATAAGAAGTTGTACACCTATTCCAAAGCCATCTTTTTCAAGTTTTAAAGTGTTTCTCTAGTCTGGTGTTCTGTGAACAAGTCTGTATTTCCTTAGCCCATGTTGTTCATTTTAAAAATTTTGATCTCTGTACAGGCTTTGTTAGAGGCAGCTTGGCGTGGTGGAAGCAGTGCTAGTTTAGGAATCACAGGATGTAGATGTAGGCTCCAGCTCTGCTACTAGCTCACCTTGACATTGTTTAAGTCCCTAAACCTTTCCATTGTTCTGGTGTAATCTGTAAAATATTTTGTAGGATTAGAAAATCTCTAAGACTCTATGACTTTTTTTAAAAATATGAATAACTGAAGAGGTTCTTGATTTTAGCCTATACAAACCAGAAATCCCTTCTATTCCCTTGATAGTTTTAGTTGGACTTGTTTGTCCACAGTTCTTGTTAATTGCAGTTTCTTGGCACATTGTGCCAGAGCTTTGTATGGCATTTCAAGGTGTGGGCACTGCCCTCATTTTGTGTCAAAGTCAGATAATATTTTCTAGTTTGCTTCCTCTGCTAGTGATGTCAAGCCATTTGACTTTCTGATTTGCATTGTCAAATTCCAACTCAACAGTAGAATTTAGACAAATCTCTGAAATTATTCATAAGAAGATTTAGCCTGTTGCTGGTTAGTTGTTAGTATGGGGTTAATGATGCCAAGGCTACAGGTTCATTGTCTTTATGGGACAGTTCTTTTTGTTTGGTTTGATAGTTTGGGCTGATGTCAGGTCTCCCCATTCCAGTCCATCCTCCACACAGATGGTAAAGTGATTTTCCTAAGGTGTAGGTCTGATCATGTTTCTCTCCCTTACTGGAGCTGGAATGGCTCTGTGTTGCTTTTAGGATCATACAAATTCCCAACTGGTAAAGCCCCCTCATAAGCTGACCCAGCCTGTTTGTCCAGCCTTGTCATACATTACTTTCTATCCTGTATTCCTGGGTCCAGTCACACTGGCCTGGTGTTTCTTGCACATAGTACTCTTATCACCCGTCTCTCTGCCTTAGTACTGGCTGCCTCCAAAGCCAGGATTCACTCTGTGCTCTTCTCTGCCTCTTAACAATCTCTCTATCTAGTTTCCTTCAAGACTCAGCTGAAACACGTCCTTTGAGAGGCTTTTTCTGACCCTAATGGTTACCACTACCCTGCTGCCAAATTACCTTGTTTATGCTTGTAGGTATAGTTTGTCTCATTATGGATACTAATAGCTAGAATTTGTTCAGCACTTTAAGATTTGCAAACCATTTTACACACTTTTTCTCATTTGATTCTCACAACATCCTGTGAAGTAGGTACTTTTATTTTCCTCATCTTACAACTGGGGAAACAGGCTGAGAGGTGAAGTGTCTTGGCCAGTCACCCAGCTAGTAAGTGTCTGAGGTAGCACCTGAGTTTGGGTCTTCCTGTCTCCAAGTCCACTACTCTCTCCACTGAGCCACAAAGCTGCCAGTAGGATGGAAGCTCTGGAGGGCAGGGGCTCTTTCATTTTTGTCTTTGTATCCCAAGGGTCCTAGTGTAGTCCCTGACACATAATGGGTATTTCATAAATATTGGTTGATTGAGTTGTGTGACTGTAAAAATGTCTGGTGAAAGCTTGCTTACTCACTTGATATCTTTGTCATGGATGACCTTAATCTGTGTGTAGATTATTATCATAACTCTTTGTGTAGATGGGAAAGTAGATGTACAATCAAGATTTATTAATTTTTTTTCCGCTGCCTTTTTTGCCAACAAATTCTGAGATTTTTTCCATGCCTTTGGTATATTTACCCTCTTTCATATGCTTTGAGAATCAGTCCCTCAATGCCTTCAGAATTGTGTTGGTTCTAATTCAGACCTTCTTGCTTTCTTGATATATACTTGGTTTAGTCCACTTGCTGTTTTCTGCAGTGTCATTTCCATGTCATGAAAAGACCATACCATTATTAAATTTTTACTCATATATTTTTCAATCAGCAAAAGTCTGCTTTTTTCCCCTTCCATCCCGCCAATCCCCTAATTGAGAACAGCTGTATAGTCCAGGACACGTCACTTAACCCTTGTCTGCTTCAATTTCCTCAACTGCAAAATGGGGATAATAATAGCACTTATCTCCCAGAGTTTGAGGATCAAATGAGATAATATCTGTGAAGCACTTAGCACAGTGCCTGGCACTTAATAGGTGCTTAATAAATGTTTATTTTCTTCCCAGCCATCTTTGGGGCATGTGCCTAGGGTAGTATCACTATGTCAAAGGCTATGCAGTTTACTGACTTTTAAGTTATATTTCTAAATTGCTTTCCAGCGAGGTTGGCCCCTTCACAGCTCTACAAATGGTGTGTGTCTGTTTCCTGCAACAATTGTCTTTTTCCCCTTTTTGTCA